CTGAGCACGCCAAGCTTTTTAGAGGCCAATTTGGCCTTCTCTTCCAAGTGACCACGAAACTGCACGCCACTCGATATGTCAACGCCGAGGATTCCGATACTGGCTGAGGCAACAAGGGGAGTGCCTTGAAACTGAGGAGATACGACAAAGGGGTTCTTTTTAGCAGTTAACGCGCAAACTTGTGTCTTCTGGGGGTTAAACTGGACTAGATTTAGTCGTCCCCAATCCGAGACTCTGTTCAGCAAAGACTCGACTTCAGACATAAGTTTGTCCCGGCACTCGGAAACGTTTTCTCGAGAAATATTGGCTCGGCCGATGTAAAGAGCATCACCAGTGCTGTCATCTGCATAGCAATGAATGGGTTTGCAACATATCATTGATATGCAGAAGAAACAGCGTTGGCGATAGCACGCAGCCTTATGGAACATCAGCATCAATAGGCTTGCAATCGGAGCTTGCACGGTCTACAACGACCTTGATGCTCCGATCTGCAAGAAAGCTGGTGATCCAATCGCACAATTTCTCGGGAAGCCCATAGGAAGGGAGCTTCCAAAGAAGCGCTTTGTGCCAAACCCGATCGAAGGCCTTCGCAATATCCAAACTAACGGCCAATGCCTCCCCCTTGGACTCTACTGCCTCCACCCATCTATGAGTTAGGTAGACCAGAAGATCACCAGCTGACCGACCACGGCGAAAACGTATTGGGTACTTATCAACTGGTGATCATCAAGGTACCTCATGAGCTGGCATTATACAATGGACTCCATTGTTTTGGAGAACAAGGAGGTGATGGCGATAGGCCGGTAGTTGGACGGGTCTGAGCGATCGCCATTTTTAGGGATCGGGTGGACGAAAGCCGTCTTCCATGATTTTGGGACTACGCCTAGGGAGTAGGAGTACCGGAAAAGACGCGTTAAAACCGGTGCCAACTCTGGAGCACACGTCCTCAGCACAATTGGGGGGATTCCGTCAGGCCCACTCGACTTGTGGATGTCCAGGGAGAGGAGTGCTTTGTGAACCGAGCGCTGTGTGAAGTGCACTACCGGCATGGAGCACTCACACCGCGGGATGGTCGGCGGCGTACTCCCCCCGTCATCGAGAGTCGAGTTGGACGCAAAGAAAGAGCCTAGAAGATCGGCTTTCTCCTTTGCGGTATGGACCAGTGAGTCGTCCTCCCTATGCAGAGATGGAAGAGATGGCTGACAGAAATTCCCCTGGACAGCCTTGGCGAGAGACCAGAATGCACGGGTTCCAGAAGGAAGGCGAACTAGTTTCTCGCCAATTCTGCCTATGTGCTCTGACTTTGCCTTGGCAATGACTCTTTTGAAGGACCTAGAGGCGGAATTATACTTCTTTTTTATAGCGCTGGTGTTTACATCCCGGGACGCTGATGCGTCAGCCCAGGCTCGGTAGCACTCCTGCTTAAAGCATGATGCTTTTTTACAGGAGCGACCAAACCATGGCTGAGATTTGCCTCCAATGGGCACCACAGAGGAAGGAATGAAAAGTTCCATACCCTGAAGTACCACATCAGCGACAGAATCCGCAACAACGTTGGGATCGGCCGGCGAGAAGCAAACCCGCCCCCAAGGGTAGGATGCAAAGAAAGACCTCATCCCATCCCAATCGGTTGACCTATAGTGCCAAACACGACGGCAGCCTGCAGAATGCAACTGCGATTTCAGCATGAGTGGCACCACACTCCGGACAAGACAATGGTCCGAGGAGCCTAAAGGGGCTTCGACGGAAATCTGATATCCGTCCGGGTGAGAGGTCAGCAGAAGGTTCAACAGGGAAGGTGCATGATCCTCCACATCTGGAATCCGCGTAGGCGAAGTAACCAGTTGTGTCAGACCATATGCCAAGGCAAAATCATGAACAGATATCCCCGCATGATCGGTTAAACGTGAACCAAGCCATTCGGCGTGATGGGCGTTAAAGTCGCCGAGGATCACGATCTCTGCGGAGGGGATCTGCTGTAGCAACGAATCTGTAGCCATTTGGACTTGGTCGAAGAGTCGGTCTGTTTCGGCATTACCGCTATGGGACTTATAGAGGCATCCGTAGACGCGCGGATGGTCGTCACTGTCTACGCGTAGCCAAAGGATGGACAGGTCCGAACCTTCAAGTCTGCCGAGGCGTCGAGAACAGATGTCCTCTCTAACGTAAATTCAAACTCCAGCCCGAGGCACAAAGGAGTGTTCCAGTTTGTACCCCGGGTAGGAGAGATACGAGACATCAGCCGGAGAGGACACCTGCGTCTCGGTCAGAAAGAGCAGAGCCGGCCTCGCCGTCTCGAGATGGTAGTGGACGGCGTTTAGGTTAGAGAGAAGTCCCCTGATATTGCAGAAATTCTCGGACAGCGTGGCAGGGGTCGCCTTGGTCTTGTTGCTCCGTTTGTCCCGAGCAGTTGTAGTCTTGAGCGGAATTTTGCCCCCCCCCCCCCAGAATGCGCGGGGCAGCCTGAGCACCCACGCTCAGAAGTGGAGAAACATGGTCGTGGATGCTCAGCGAGGGATTCTCCAGGGGTGCTGGTACCCTCCTGGGGTAGTCTATCATTATTTGATTCCGCTACCATGTTGATGGGAGGGGGGGGGGGATTTGGGCCTCCGGCCACCTGCACTCACCAGACGAAACGCGGAAGCAGAGCTTCCACTTCACGCCGGTATTCTGTGAGTTCGTGGTACCACCCCGGTTTGAGTCGGCCCATACGTGCAACAGCAAAGCTGCCGCGTGGCTCTACCACTGTTAAAGTCTTCCATTCACTTCACACCGCAATATATATTTGTTTTGTCAGTCTTTCCTCATACATTTTTTCTACATGACCAAACCACCGAAGCATTCCTTTCTTAATCCTGGTCACCGCATCATCCTGCAAACCACACTCTTCTTTTATCACACAGTTTCTCACTCTTTCACTCAGATTCAGCCCTAACATACTCCTTAGCGACCGCATTTCTACTGCATTTATTCTACTCTCGTGCTTCTTCTGCCACACCCAACTTTCACTACCATACCTTAAAGTAGGGACTAATACAGCATTGTTGATTGCCATACGTGCCTTTTTGACACATTCTGACTTCTCACAATTGAGTGTATAGCCCCATTTACTTTATTACCTATATTCACTCGTCGTTCAATATCCTTATCATATCTCTGCCGAATACACATCCCAAATATATAAATTCGTCTATTTGCTCGACTGTCTATTGAGCTTTTTACTGAGACCAGTATTTCTTCCACCCATTTCCTATTCTTCGCTCAATTTTCTTAGTGGTTTGATCTTTGTGAGATATTATCTGTCCTAAGTAGATTTATTCTGATTTCTGACACAGATTCGAATGGTTGGTTCTCAATTTTTATAGTTACTGGTTTAGAGTTTGTAAGCAGTTTTGTTTCGTCCTTGTTCATGTCTAAGGCCGCTTTCAGGCTTTCTTCATTTAGTGATTCTATCATTTTAACAAGGTTGGTCGGGTTTTCTTCAAATAAGACTATATCATCTGCAAATCTTAGGTGGTTTAGTTTTACACCCTGCACGTTGAGATTGTATTCTTCCCAGTCTAGTTTGCGGTAGATACTTTCCAGAGCAGCCGAGAACGATTATGGCGAAATAGGGTCTGGGGTATGAACATTAATACCGCTGATCTAAAGTCTGACATAGTCCAGCATTATTTAAATATTACGGCTACTTATGGCCTTATTCAAGGTATTGACAAACCGACTCGTTACCCTTCTCAAACAGTTCTTGATCATTTTATGGTTAAATGCAGCTCTCCTTGGAAAACTGTAATCTACGATCAGATTAATATCACAGATCATTCCCCCATTTTATTGTATATATGTAATGAAAATAATATTAAAACACATCATGTAGGTACATCATTACCGTAAATTAGATTATACTGCGATTACGGCACAACTTAAGCAATTTAATTGGGAGGATTTGCACGAAATCGTTAATGTGGATTTAATTACTTCGTCGATTTTTTATTACATCGTCAATACTCTTAATAGTATTATTGTAATAAATTCAATTCTTTGCACGAAAATTAAAACCATGGATAACCGTTGGCATTATTAGATGTCTGCGTAAAAGGGATAGAATGTATAAATCAGTAAAAAGTAATAATGAAGAAAACCTAAAAAAATACTACGTAAGCTATAGAAACTGGTGTACTAAATTGGTCAAGAGATTGAAAGCAGACTGCTATCAAGATCACTTCCATAAACACAAAAAAAACGTGGAAGGCTGTTAGAGAGATCTGCAACTATACATCTAATAATCATCCACCAGCTGAGCTTATCCAAATCAAACCTACTCCTGAAAAATTCTTAGATGAAGTTAACTTGTATTTTACCTCTATAGGACGTAATTTAGCCACACAAACACTAAATAAGCTTAATACTACGGAAATGTAATTGGCTTCTAAAGCTAAACTTAATAAATCCATAATAATAATAATAATAAAAGGGCGTAGGGAAGTGACGACCCCATCGCCCGTTGACGTGACGGTTATGTGACAAAACCGCTACGTCCGCGCAGTCAGTCAGCACCGTGCCAAGAGGTGTGAGCGCCGTGCCTCGGCAAAAATTGATGGTGCAAGGGCCCGCTTGTGCATATGGCCTCACCATGAAACGGCGCCGGGTCTGGGCGTCTCCCGTTAAATGACGCCCTGTATGGATGATGGAACATAGAAGATTGCGCAAAGGGCCGCTGCCTGGAGGTCGTCAGGGCGCGTCTGGAGCTGGCGCTGGACGCGACAGCATGCGAACCGCCAGCCGAGCGCGAGGTGCTGCACGACCACCCAGCAGCCCCTCGCATCCATCATCCCCACCAGCTTGCTTGGTGTCGGCAGGGTCTTCGCAGGCCCAGCAATCGGCACCCGCCACTGGTGGAGTACGCCGCATGCGATGGACCATCAATATGAATTCAAACGCATTGCGGGCGTATTTTAGGGCGAAAGGGGGGAGAAATTGGAGGTTTCGCGTATCGGGCTAGGATGCATCGTCTTTTTACTGAGCTGGAGCCATCTATTACTGTCACCGAGCAAAACCTGGCAGACCGAGTTCGGTATATCTTACGCCCAAATATATTTGATGGCGCCGAACTCGAACGGCTACGACGTGAGGCTGTTCCCTCATCAAATGAAAACGCTACGACTGAGGGTGCGGTGCCACAAGTTGCAGAACAACCCGCACACGTGGATGCCGCCGAGAATACCCCAGTGGTTGCTGATTCAAATGATGAAGGAACATTCACCCAGGAACTAGAAATAGAGCAAATGAGGAGTACATTGGAAGAGGCGATTATGGAAACGCGCAGTACGCCTCTCGAAAATCGACCGCGACTTCCCCGCATAGCCCTAAGCAAGCGGAATCGGGCTGTCGTGAGGGCTCTGAACCCAATGCTGGTGACCTATTTGGAAGCCAGCCGGGACCTTTGCGAGACGGACTCAATTCTCTTTGGCGCCGCACTGGCAGTCTGCCGTATTATAGGCGCCAAACTTTCCACGGCTGGACGCACTACTGGACAAAGTACTGCTATCCCAGCCTGGAGAACAAGAATTGAAGAACGTATCGCAAAGACTAGGGCCCTCATCGGCAGACTGATATGCTTCAGGTCAGGCAATACCAGGCCAAGGATTGTGCGCACCGTCAGGATGGCGTTTACTGGGACAAATGTTAGTTTGTCCCAGCCGGATATAATGCAAAAACTGACGGAGCGCATAGACGACCTGAAGCAGAGAATCGCTGCTTGGGGAAAGCGAATTCGGCGATATACCGAGAGGTCGACACGGTTCAACCAGAATCGTCTCTTCCAGAGTGATCAGAAGAGGCTCTATAAATCATTGGAGCGACCAATGGTAAGTGGAACGGGCCCAGTACCGAATCAGGCCGACACGGTCGCGTTCTGGCGCAGCCTGTGGTCAGAGCCCGTAAACCACAACGAGGGCCCTTGGACGGAAGTTGTGGCGAGTCAGTGTGCGGGTATTACGCCCATGGACCCCGTCACCATAACGCCGGATGACGTAGCTGAGGCGGTCCGTAGGGCCCCGAACTGGAAAAGTCCGGGACTCGACGGGCTGCACACTACTGGCTGAAGGGGTTCGTGGTGTGTCACACTGTGCTCGCCCGACAGTTTCAAGAGGTTCTCAACCAGAAGTCGCTCCCGAGCCTCTTCACTACTGGGATCACCCATTTGGTTCCTAAAGGCCAGAGTACCACAGACCCGAGCAAATACCGCCCCATCACATGTCTACCGACCATATATAAGACACTAACATCCATTTTGAGCGCGAGAATCACTCGTCACCTGGACTCAAATCAGGTGATGTCGCGCGCTCAAAATGGATGTCGGGGCGGCGGTCGTGGAACCAAGGAACCACTCCTCATTGACGCGGTCATTGGCAAAGTGGTGAAACGCAACCGTCGGAACTTCTCCGCCGCCTGGATAGACTACAGAAAGGCATTCGACTCGGTGCCCCATACATGGCTAAAGAGAGTCCTCGAACTGTACAAGATAGACTGTACAGTTAGAGACTTCCTCGAGCAGTGTATGGGGCAGTGGAGTACGATCCTTTGTCATCTGGGCGAGCGGATGATGGCTGCGGAGAACCACATAAGGATAAGAAGGGGTATCTTCCAGGGCGATTGTCTGAGTCCAAAATGGTTCTGCCTCTCTCTGAACCCTCTCAGTACCTTACTGGAGGGCTCCGGGAGTGGATTTCAGCTACGGAAAGGAGGGACAAAAGTGACCCACCTTTTCTATATGGATGACCTCAAGTTATTCGCCTCCAGTCGCTCCCATCTTATGGAATTGCTAAACATCACTTGTGAATTTAGCAATTCCATTGGAATGGAGCTGGGGACGGATAAGTGTGCGGTCCTCCATGTTGAGAGGGGTAGGGTTGCTAACTCTGAGGGCATAGACTTATCTATGCCCGTCAACTTAAGGACCCTTTCCGAGGCTGAAACATACCGATACCTGGGTATGTCACAGAACATTGGTATCGATGAGGCTGGTATGAAACAGTCAGTTTGCGACGTGTTTTATGCACGCTTGACCAAAGTGCTTAACAGCCTTTTGTCCGGTGTGAATAAGACACAAGCATATAACGGCTGGGTCATGCCTGTCCTCATGTATACCTTTGGCATACTCAGGTGGACTCAGACTGAACTTAACGCCCTGGATAGAAAAGTCCGCACTACCATGACGTCCCACAGGATGCATCATCCGAGATCGTCGGTAATGAGGCTGTACTTGCCGCGAAAGCATGGTGGGCGTGGCTTCTTGAGCGCGCTCACCATGCATAATCGCGAAGTGTGCAGCCTCCGTAATTACTTCCTGGCGAGATCGGATGATCCATTCTATAAGGACGTCATTTCTTGTGATAAAGGACTTACCCCTCTATCCTTAGCCAACGAGCAATGGCAAGACCCGGCAGTGCAGACAATTTCCGACCGGGAGACCGTATGGAAGGAGAAGGAGCTCCACGGGAGGTTCTACAAGTCTCTACATGGGCCTTTCGTAGACACAGTAACCTCTCTCCACTGGCTACGCTTTGGTGACCTCTTCGGGGAAACCGAGGGTTTTGTCTGTGCAATACAGGATCAGGTTATTAAGACCAACAACTATCGGAGATACATCCTAAAGGATGGCACCATCGACATGGACAGGGAAGACGGACCTGTCGAGCTTGTCGCCATCCCGGTGAGTCACTTAGGCATGTCATCTCCGGTTGTTCGGCGCTTTCTAACTCTGAGTACTTGCACAGGCACAACCTAGTAGCCAGAATTCTACACCAGGAGCTCGCTCTGAAATACGGTTTCGTGGATCGGAAGTTGCCGTATTACAAGTACTTGCCGGAAGCCGTGCTCGAAAATGATCGCGCCAGGCTCTATTGGGACCGGGCCATCATCACAGATAGGACTATTCTTGCGAATAAGCCTGATATTGTGCGGATGGACCGGGCACAGTCAAGGATATTTTTGATCGACATTACCATTCCGTGTGACGAGAACCTCGTGAAAGCCGAAACAGATAAGCAAACAAAATATCTGGACCTGGCTCACGAGGTGACCGACATGTGGGGTGGTCTGCCGACCGAAATTATTCCTGTAGTCGTCTCTGCAAACGGGCTAATCCCAGTCAGCCTCTCGGGTCATCTGAGGCGGCTGGGACTACGTGGCGGACCGCTCCAGGCTCAAATGCAGAAGGCGGTGCTCCTCGATACCGCCCGCATCGTCCGCCGGTTTCTTTCCTTTTCCCCCCTAACCCTCGGCCGTTTGGTCTCCCCTGCCGAGGGCTTCCATCTGGTTGGGCTTTTATTTATTTATATATTTTCGTATTTATTTTATTTTATTGATATTTTTGTATATTTGTCTTTTCATTTTCGTTTATAATTATATATTTATACATCCCAACCAGATGAGAAAACTATATAGATACCCCACACATAATAATAATAAATCACAAAGAAAATTCAGTCGCACATTGAACACCACAATATAATAGCAGAAGAACAGAAGGGATGTAGACAGGGCCACATGGGATGTAAAGAACAGCTAATAATTGATTCCACTATTCATAAACACGCCACCTCTAAAAATAGAAATTTACATTGCACCTATATTGATTATAAAAAAGCGTTTGACAGTGTTCCTCATTCATGGTTATTAAAAATATTAGAAATTTATAGAATAAACCCGAAAATAATCGATTTCTTGCGCCGAATAATGTTACAATGGAAAACAACAACTACAAATAAATTGTAACCAAAATAATGTCACCACGCGACAAATCTCAATCACAAAAGGCATCTACCAAGGTGACTCCCTGAGCCCACTGTGGTTCTGTCTCGCCCTAAACCCTCTGTCTCATTTGCTGCAGAGCTGCGGAGCCGGATATTGCCTCAAACTTAATACAGACGAAACAACAATATCGCATCTTATATACATGGACGACATCAAATTATATGCAAAAACAGACAAGGATATGAAGAAATTAATAGATATAACAACAGAATTCAGTAGCGATATTAATATGCATTTTGGTTTAGATAAATGTAAAACACTTCACATTGTAAGAGGCAAAGTAAGGCCCGGCGACTATGTAGTAAATGAAACGGAGGCTATTACAGCAATGGAATCGACTGACTTATACAAATATTTAGGGTATGTCCAACTTAAAAGTCTTGACCACATACGAATTAAAAATTCCCTCATTATGGAATACAAGAGAAGACTTAACGCCGTTTGTAAAACTCAACTTTCAAGTAAACATCTCATCAAAGCCATTAACACCTATGCCATCCCCATATTAACGTACTTATTCGGAGTTATAAAATGGTCTAAAACTGACGCAGAACAATTAGAGCGAATTACACGTACAACACTCACGAAACACAACAACCTGCACCACCATAGAGAGACTAACAATAAAACGAGAACATGGAGGGAGAGGCCTAATAGATATCCAGCACCTATGGCGGAAACAAGTTAGTCGATTAAAATCATTCTTCTATACAAAATCCCATACTAGCAATATTCATAAAGCCATCGTAACGAATGATATTAACTACACTCCACTTAACTTAAGCAATCAGATTGAATCCCAAAACATTACCAGTGATAACCCACAGACACACAAAATTGACGAATGGAAGAAGAAAGTTCTCCACGGTCGGCACCCTCATGACTTAGAGCAATCCCACATAAATAAGTTAGCTTCAAATAAGTGGCTGAAAATAGGCAACTTATTCCCAGAAACAGAAGGATTTATAATAGCTATTCAAGACCAGATCATAAACACAAAAAATTACAGAAAATATATAATCAAAGATCCTACAGTAAATAATGACAAATGTCGCAAATGCCACACACATCCGGAAACCATTCAACACATCACAGGCGCATGCACAACTCTCACACAGACTGACTACACTCACAGACACAACCAGGTGGCCAATGTCATTCACCAAAAACTAGCACTCAAACACGCACTCATTCAAGATGCCAACACTCCGTACTACAATTATACACACAAAACCTACTCTAGAAAACATCACACATAAACTTTTTTACGACCGCGGCATTCTCACCGATAGGACAATCCACTATAACCGACCAGATATAATTCTACAAGATAAAATAAATAATATTACTTACCTCATAGACATTGCAGTCCCCAACACACACAACTTGCAGAAGACGATAACTGAAAAAATTAGTAAGTACGCAGAACTTAAAGATGAAGTGACTAGAATCTGGCAACAAGAAAAAGTATATGTAGTCCCTATAGTCCTCTCCACAACAGGTGTCATCCCAAATCATCTCCTCCGTAGCTTAAAATTATTACAACTAAAAGAAACTCTATATATTACACTTCAAAAAGCAGCTATATTAAATACATGCAGAATAGTTAGGAAATTCATGCAGATAGAAGAAAACGAAATAGGACCTCATCAAATAACATGAACTACACTACACACCACACGCTGCATTTTCTTTGGCTTCGGCCCGTAAATGTAGTTGAAATCCAGCCTAGAGTTGAGAAGTGAAAACACTTACCGTAAATAATAATAATAATAAAAAGGCGTAGGGAAGTGACGACCCCATCGCCCGCTGACTTAACGGTTATGTGACAAAACCACTACGTCAGCGCAGTCAGTCAGCACCTTGCCAAGAGGTGTTAGTGCCGTGCCTCGGCAAAAATTGAAGGTGCAAAGTCCCGCTTGTGCACATGGCCTCACCATGAAACGGCGCCGGGTCTGGGCGTCTCCCGCTAAATGACGCCCTAAAAATGGATGATGGAATTAAATAGAACGCGCAAAGGGCCGCTGCCTGGAGGTCGCCAGGGCGCGTCTGGAGCTGGCGCTGGACGCGACAGCATGCGAACCGCCAGCCGAGCGCGAGGTGCTGCACGACCACCCAGCAGCCCCTCGCATCCATCATCCCCACAAGCTGGCTTGGTGTCGGCAGGGTCTTCGCGGGCCCAGCAATCGGCACCCGCCTCTGGTGGAGTACGCCGCATGCGTTGGACAACCCAGATGAACAGCAACGCATTGCGGGCGTATTTTAGGGCGAAAGGGGGAGAAACTGGAGGTTTTGCGTATCGGGCAAGGATGCATCGACTTTTTGCTGAGCTGGAGCCATCTGTAACCGTCACCGAGCAAAACCTGGCAGACCGAGTTCGGTATATCTTGCGCTCAAATACATTTGATGTTACCGAACTCGAACGGCTACGACGTGAGGCTGTTCCTTCATTGGGTGAAAATGCTGCGGCTGAGGATGCGGCGCCACAACTTGCTGAGCAAACGGCAAATGTAGATGCCGCCGTGAACACGCCAGTTGTGGTTGATTCAGACGATGATGGAACAGTCGCCCAGGAACTGGAACTAGAGCAAATGAGGAGTACATTGGAAGAGGCGATTGTGGAAACGCGCAGTACGCCTCTCGAAAATCGACCGCGACTTCCCCGCTTAGCCCTAAGCAAGCGGAATCGGGCTGTCGTGAGGGCTCTGAACCCAATGCTGGTTACCTATTTGGAAGCCAGCCAGGACCTTTGCGAGACGGACTCAATTCTTTTTGGCGCCGCACTGGCAGTCTGCCGTATTATAGGCGCCAAACTTTCCACGGCTGGACGCGCTACTGGACAAAGTAGTGCTATCCCAGCCTGGAGAATAAGAATTGAAGAACGTATCGCAAAGGCTAGGGCCCTCATCGGCAGACTGATATGCTTCAGGTCAGGCAATACCAGGCCAAGGATTGTGCGCACCGTCAGGATGGCGTTTGCTGGGACAAATGTTAGTTTGTCCCAGCCGGATATAATGCAAAAACTGACGGAGCGCATAGACGACCTGAAGCAAAGAATCGCTGCTTAGGGAAAGCGGATTCGACGATATACCGAGAGGTCGACACGGTTCAACCAGAATCGTCTCTTCCAGAGTGATCAGAAGAGGCTCTATAAATCATTGGAGCGACCAATGGTAAGTGGAACGGGCCCAGTACCGAATCAGGCCGACACGGTCGCGTTCTGGCGCAGCCTGTGGTCAGAGCCCGTAAACCACAACGAGGGCCCTTGGACGGAAGTTGTGGCGAGGCAGTGTGCGGGTATTACGCCCATGGACCACGTCATCATAACCCCGGATGACGTAGCTGAGGCGGTCCGTAGGGCCCCGAACTGGAAAAGTCCGGGGCTTGACGTGCTGCATCACTACAGGCTGAAGGGGTTCATGGTGTGTCACGCTGTGCTCGCCCGACAGTTTCAAGAGGCTCTCAACCAGAAGTCGCTCCCAAGCCTCTTCACTACTGGGATCACTCATTTGGTTCCTAAAGATCAGGATGCCACAGACCCGAGCAAATACCGCCCCATCACGTGTCTACCGACCATATACAAGACACTAACATCCATTTTGACCGCGAGAATCGCTCGTCACCTGGACTCTAATCAGGTGATGTCGCGCGCTCAAAATGGATGTCGGGGCGGCGGTCGTGGAACCAAGGAACCACTCCTCATTGACGCGGTCATTGGCAAAGTGGTGAAACGCAACCGTCGGAACTTCTCCGCCGCCTGGATAGATTACAGAAAGGCATTTGACTCGGTGCCCCATACATGGCTAAAGAGGGTCCTCGAGCTGTACAAGATTGACTGTACAGTTCGAGACTTCCTCGAGCAGTGTATGGGGCAGTGGAGTACGATCCTCTGTCATCTAGGCGAGCGGATGACGGCTACGGAAAGCCGCATAAGGATAAGAAGGGGTATATTCCAGGGCGACTCTCTGAGTCCAATCTGGTTCTGCCTCTCTTTGAACCCTCTCAGTACTTTACTGGAGGGCTCCGGGAGGGGATTTCAGCTTCGGAAAGGAGGTGCAAAAGTAACCCACCTTTTCTATATGGATGACCTCAAGTTATTCGCCTCCAGTCGCTCCCATCTTATAGAATTGCTAAACATCACTTGTGAATTTAGCAATTCTATTAGAATGGAGCTGGGGACGGATAAGTGTGCGGTCCTCCATGTTGAAAGGGGAAGGGTTGCTAACTCTGAGGGCATAGACTTATCTATGCCCGTCAACTTAAGGGCCCTTTCCGAGGCTGAAACATACCGATACCTGGGTATGTCACAGAACATCGATATCGATCAGGCTGGTATGAAACAGTCATTTTGCGACGTGTTTTATGCACGCTTGACCAAAGTGCTTAACAGCCTTTTGTCCGGTGTGAATAAGACACACGCATATAACGATTGGGTCATGCCTGTCCTCATGTATACCTTTGGCACACTCAGGTGGACTCAGACTGAACTTAACGCCCTGGATAGAAAATTCCGCACTATCATGATGTCCCATAGGATGCATCATCCGAGATCGTCGGTAATGAGGCTGTACTTGCCGCGAAAGCATGGTGGATGTGGCTTCTTGAGCGCGCTCACCATGCATAATCGCGAAGTGTGCAGTCTTCGTAATTACTTCCTGGCGAGATCGGATGATCCATTCTATAATGACGTCATTTCTAGTGATAAAGGACTTACCCCTCTATCCTTAGCCAACGAGCAATGGCAAGACCCGGCAGTACAGAGCATTTCCGACCGGGAGACCGTATGGAAGGAGAAGGAGCTCCACGGGAGGTACTACAGGGCTCTACATGAGCCTCACGTAGATACAGCCGCCTCCCTCAACTGGCTACGTTTCGGTGACCTCTTCGGTGAAACCGAGGCTTTTGTCTGTGCAATACAGGATCAGGTTATTAAGACCAACAACTATCGGAGATACATCCTAAAGGATGGCACTGTCGACGTCTGTCGAGCTTGTCGCCATCCCGGGGAGTCACTTAAGCAAGTCATCTCCGGTTGTTCGGCGCTTTCTAACTCTGAGTACTTGCACAGGCACAACCTAATAGCCAGAATTCTACACCAGGAGCTCGCTCTGAAATACGGTCTCGTGGACCGAAAATTGCCGTATTACAAGTATTTGCCGGAAGCCGTGCTCGAAAATGACCGCGCCAAGCTCTACTGGGACCGGGCCATCATCACAGACAGGACTATTCTTGCGAATAAGCCTGATATTGTGTTGATGGACCGGGCACAGTCAAGGATATTTTTGGTCGACATTATCATTCCGTATGACGAGAACCTCGTGAAAGCCGAAACAGATAAGCAAACAAAATATCTGGATCTGGCTCACGAGGTGACCGACATGTGGGGTGGACTGCCGACTATTCCTGTAGTCGTCTCTGCAAACGGGCTAATCCCAGGCAGCCTCTGGGGTCATCTGAGTCGGCTGGGACTACGTGGCGGACCGCTCCAGGCTCAAATGCAGAAGATGGTGCTCCTCGATACAGCCCGCATCGTCCGCCGGTTTCTTTCCCTTTCCCCCTAACCCTCGGCCTTTTGGTCTCCCCTGCCGAGGGCTTCCATCTGGTTGAATCTTATTTATTTATGTATTTTTTGTATTTAATTTATAATTATATATTTATAGAACCCAGATGAGAAAATTATATAGATACGCCAATAATAATAATAATAATATTTTATTTGCATAAAACATGGTATATAATAGATTTTACAGAACGTTTCAGATCAGCATGTTTTGCTATAGTTATTCATAGCATACAAATTTTTTTCACATTAATATTTTTGGCTACAAAAATCCTTGACACTATAGAAATTACAATTATTTAGCCACTGATATAGTTTTAATTTAAATGATCTTGTATTTAATATAATTAAGTAATTAAGTATCTTATTATATAAGTGAACACACATAAATAAACAACTTTTAATATATTTTCTTATTCTAGGATTATCGTTTAGTACGGGGATTTACATCATCTATCGTTGTAAACAACGTTTTGTGCTTATGTACAAACATGCATACTTCATATATATAAAGTGATGGTAGTGGTAATAAGCCAAGTTTTTTAAACACTGGTTGACACGATTCATACGGTTTTTGCCCACATATAGCTCTAATGCATTTTTTTGCGCGACAAATGCTTTGTTTTGATCGGTGCTGTTGCCCCACCTTATAAGACCATACCGTAGTAGAGATTCTACGTATGCATGGTAGGACATGACAGCGGTTTTTATGTTTTTTATTTGTTTAAGTGCATACACGAATTTATTTATTTTGGTAGAGACATCGCTTACATGTGGTTTCCAATTTATATCGTCATCTATAGTTAAACCTAAAAATTTCGTATGACTAGCTGCTTTTATTTTTGGAATGTTAAGTTTAAGGTTATGTTTATTATTAGTGCATTTATTAAATTGTATATATAAAGATTTGTCTAAATTAATTTTTAAATTATGTATGTCAACCCAGTTAATTAAAGTATCTATTGTATTATTTTTGTCAGCTTATTGGTCACTCAAATTATTATTTTTTTTATTGGAAGTCACGATTATTGAAATGTCATCAGTAAATAGAATACATTTATGCTTCGTAATATTAACAATGTCATTTAAGTATAACAAAAACAGAATTGGACCGAGAACACTTCCCTGTGGAACGCCTGGTATTCGGTATTCGGACGAGTATGGAATTATGTCCCCATTTACATCTGCTTTAGTAATACATTGTTGTCTATTATAAAGATATGATGTTATCCAATGAAGCATTGATCCTCTAATTCCAATCTTTTCCAATTTCTGTAACAATAGGTCATGTAAAACTAGGTCAAAGGCTTTAGATAGGTCAAAGAATAGACTCGTTGTAAGATTAAAAATATAAACATAACATAAACACTCACGCCTGTCACCCAGAGGGGTAGGCAGAGACTACAGACTTCCATTTAGCACGATCCTGACATACCTTTCTCGCCTCCTTCCACATCCATATACCTACGCATACATGCTCGTCGGTTAAGGGTACTCTTAATTTGGCCCATTTTTAGTATATCGCCAATTTGGTTGACAAACTTCCGCCTAGGACGTCCCTTTCCGACTCTTCCATTCACTTCTGCAACATATATTTGCTTTGTCAGTCTTTCCGCATTCATTCTTTCTACATGACCAAACCACCGAAGCATTCCTATCTTAATACTGGTCACCGCATCATCTTGCAAACCACACTCTTCTTTTATCACACAGTTTCTCACCCTGTCACTCAGATTCAGCCCTAACATACTCCTTAGCGACCGCATTTCTACTGCATTTATTCTACTCTCGTGCTTCTTCTGCCACACCCAACTTTCACTACCATACGTTAAAGTAGGGACTAATACAGCACTGTGAATTGCCATACGTGCCTTTTTTGACACATTCTGACTTTTCACAATAGAGTGTAGAGCCCCATTTACTTTATTTCCTGCATTCACTCGTCGTTCAATATCCTTATCATATCTCCCATCCCTGCTGAATACACATCCCAAATATACGAACTCATCCACTTGCTCAATAAACTCTCCTTCTATTCTTATTTCACATACCGTCTTGCTTTCATCTCTTTCAAAAACCCTCATTTTCGTCTTACTTGCGTTCACTTTCATTCCCCTTTCTTTTAATGACCTGTTCGTTATTGTAACCATCATTTGCAACTCGGCCGCCGACGACGCAAGTATGACTTGATCATCGGCGTACAAAAGGCATTTGATGGTTAACTCACCCATTCTTAACCCGCATTCTTCAACTTTCAAATTTTCCAAACAGCTGTCCATAAATAGGTTGAACAGCCACGGGGAAGCTACACAGCCCTGTCTGACACCTTTATGGATGCCAAACCAGTCCGAGTAGACCCCGTTGATTCTAACACAAGCACTCGAGTCCCTATACAGAGACTTTAATGCCTGTATCAAACCAGCGCTCAACCTAAATGCGTTCAGCGTTTGCCATAACACATCCCTGTCCACTCTGTCATAAGCCTTTTCCAAGTCCATGAACGCACAA